TTAATACCAATTCATTAATTATCTTTATCCATCTATATTGCTGCCCTGAGCGTGTGTTTGAGGATGATGTACATTATCCCTGACAATAATAAATCTACAAAGACCACACAATAAAACTAAACAGAAAGAATCCGGAAGAAAAATCCATCCTAGATCAAATGCTTGAAAACAACAGCAGATCTTTAATGCTTTGCAAAAACTGTTACACAGGGTCAGTTTTGATCCTACTGGATCAAAACTTTGATCCTACTGGATGGGCTGATGTCACTGGAGGTAGATTGTCTTACAAGTAACGTGACCCTGAGCCACGAAGGGCTTGGTAGTTCAGGAAAAAGACCTGATGTTGCACCCTGAACTACACTGATACAGCTTGAATATGTAATGTATATCCGCATAACATAGGTCTACATATGTAATTGCTCACACTGTTGTAATCTGGATCAGCTGAGTCTTTGGGGGTGATTGCCAAGGGCAGTCCCATGTATGGTGCATTGCAGTAATCAAAGCACAAGGTGACTCTAATATGAGGGACTGTAAGCAAGAGGCAATTGCTGAAATGACGGCTTCAAAAACTAGGAAATGCACTATTAGGTTTTCGTGTCTAAATCAATTCTGTTAACCTGTATATTCCATTTATTAAGCCAAACTCTTAATGCAAACAGGCTGAAGAATATCTTAGGTTTGATCAATTTGGTAGTGAGTGAACACAAGGGCCATAATATGAATCCCATGTCCTTACCAAATGGCTATTAGCAATAAAGCTCCTAATTTCTGCAACTGGTTTTTCACACCGGGCAACCCCCAGAGTCTCTACAGTTACTGACTAGTATGGATTCCAAGTCTTTTAGACTAAGAGTTTTTCCTATTCTATCCCAAAACAATGCAAAGAGCATAGCTGAGATTTCTGCAAGCGAACAATTCACCTTCTCTTTCTCAGTGTCTGCATATTATCATTAAAATACTGGTGAATTGCCAGGATGCACAACTTTGTATTGATTTATTGATCTGCTACCAATATTTAAAAAACCTTGAATCCATCCATAATATATAAGGAGTATATTATGAGTCTACCTTGTATGTACACATTCTCTCTCTCTCTCTCTCTCTCTCTCTCTCTCTCTCTCTCTCTCTCTCTCTCTCTCTCACACACACACACACACACACACACACACACACACGCCATTGTCTGCTTTATTTTTTCCAGTTTCAGGATAAGTTAGTTCGATTTTTGTTCACCGAGTAGGAAAGTAATGTTCACCCAAGTCTTTAAATACGTCCGAGTCCATCTGGTATGTACTTGGCTCAGCTTTCCCGTTGCTTTGTCCATCTGTTTTAAATCTACTTCCAAAATGCCTCCTGACTTTTCATACACACAGTCAACATCAGTTACCTTCAACCTGCCGTTTTCCAGATATGTCTGGACAGCAACCCTGAGAAATTATTGTTCCAAAATATAGAAAGGACATCATGTTAGAGACAGTTGCTCTTGATGGGGGGAAAATTGCATGAATTTGGCTCATGTGTTTCCAGGCCCAGAATGAGATTCTAGATGGATTTTTTTTTATTTTGTTTATTTCTTTTCTGCCTTTATTATTTATTTATAAATAATGCAAAGTGGCAAACGTATCTAAACCAACTTCCTCCTCCTATCTGTGAACGAGGGCCTAGACTGACAGGTGTAAATCCTCTCTTACAGAGCATCATCTGTTTAGCGAAGGATCCATGTTCTATTTAAACATTGACAAACACTATAATGTCATAATAAGATGCTTGGAATTACCATCCAGAGAGGGGATGTATAGACACATAGCTCAGGGACTTAAATCTTTCTGTCTAGTGGTGAAATGACATAGATTTTTCACCGTATTATTCACTAAAACTAGGAATCAATGAACATCTATAGTGCAAGGACTGTAACAGACAGGCAGAACACCAGCACAGCACATCCATGAACACCAACAAGTAATCAAAAGACATGAGAATTTCTTAAGTTCACAACACAGGGACCGTCTCAATCATAGTTTCAGCTGAGGACCAAGCTAAATCCAAGAACATTAGAGAATTCCTGAAAGCTTGACACTTAGACAAATTAGCCGTCTACAGCCACACAGAGATAAAGCAGATTTACACATCACTCAAAGGAGAAAATAAAAAAGCTAAGAAGGAAACAAGACCAGAACACATCTTCTCCAGCAGCCTACAGTCTTAACTTTTTATTGTCACTTTTGAATGAACGGTTGTAAATCTGGTTTATCTCTGTGTATTGATAGATAATTCATCTAGGTGCCAAGATTCCAAGAAATTCCTTACTTTTTTGGATTTGATTTTATCATGGTGTAACTTGATTTTATCATGGTGTAACGATGTGACTGACACTGGAACGTACCCAAATCAGCAAGAGTAAACATATTGCAATCTAGAGTGATTTGAATTAGAGTTCCCTGCTAGGTGGGGAAACGATATATACCAACTTAATAATACTATCCCCCAGTGGAAAATTATCATTATAAGGAAGGAAACAGGTACCATTAGAAAGCAGAGGGAATGGAAGAATTCTATTATGGAGGAGTTAAACCCAGCTCTAAGAACAAAGGTTCTAGAAATGCATTTTAAAAATGTCTGCTTGTCAACATAAAAACAACTTTTAAAAAGCACAGGGAGTTAACATTTAAAGGTCAAGATAGAGAAGGGTTCTTCTAATACGCATTGTTTTGGAAATTCAATCTATCAGGGACTGGGGATTTTGTTTGTTTGTTTGAAAGTGTCTCTTTAAAAGATATTGTAACACTCCCAGTCCCTACACATAATATCAATTTCGTGATGAAGAATATCCAGTCCAGACTAAGCTACAGGATAAAGGAGAACACTGAAGCCTTAAAGCTGTTCTGAGAGTGTAACTTAATACAGGTAATCCAGGACCTACAAGACTTTGTTTAGTGACTGTTCAAAGTTAGAACGGCACTGAAAAAAAGGACTTATGATCATTTTTTTCATACTTATGACCATTGCAACATATTCATGACCATGATTAAAATTCAGACCCTTGGCAACTGACTCACATTTATGACGGTCGTAGTGTCCCGGGGTCACGTGTTCCCCTTTTGCAAGCTTCCGACAAGCCTAATCAATGGAGAAGCCAAACTTACTTAACAATCATGTTACTAACAATTGCAGCAATTCACTTAACAACTATGGCAAGGGAAGGTTGTAAAAGGGGGCCAAGCTCACTAATAATAATAATAATAATAATAATAATAATAATAATAATAATAATAATAATAATAATAATAATAATAATAAAAAGTTGGAAGGGACCTTGGAGGTCATCGAGTCCAACCCCCTGCTCAGGCAGGAAACCCTGCACCATTTCGGACAAATGGCTGTCCAGTCTCTTCTCAACATACATTTTGGGATCCAGTATGGTCGTATGTTGAGAACTACGTGTAGGGAGCCAAGATTTCCAAGGATTTATCCCCAGATTTTGTGAGCATTTTTACTGTGTATGGTGTGTCCAGATACAAAGGGTCTTTGGTGCTCTCTGGGCTTGGTTATTTTCTTGCAGACATTTCATGAACCTAATTAGGCAACACCACCAGTGCTAGGAAGGAATGTGATTTGCTCTTTGTTTATGTTCTAGTAGCTTACCCTGTCAGTGTTGGGGGGGGGTTATTAGGGACTCTTTGGTTAAGCTGATTACAGTTACCTTTGTTGGCTGCTCTTTGGTTGAGGTATTGTTTACTTCTTGATTGTTGGTCTGATGTTAACTTTGGACTTAATTCCTGCTCCTCTGGGTGTTGAGTGCCGGTGAAGAGGTGTTTTGATCTTTTTGTTCCCTTTTCGGTCTCTTTTGCACAGTATGTAGATATTGTTAAGGTCCATGCGTCAACCCTTGCCTGAATGCACTGGATCATAGAGTGCATCACTGCTGCTTTTTCCTTTTTTTTCCATTGCACTTCTCAGAAGTCCTTTCAATTTTAGCACTCCCCTAAATTCCCCCCCTCCCAAGCAGAACCAGCTCAGCCTTAACCTCAAGAAGTATGTCCTGCCAATCAAGCCTACTCAGGGCATTGCTGTCCTTTTCCTATTTTTAAGGGGAGTTATAGACAAACTCCAGACACCAACACTACAATCAGGAAGGCCATTTCTGTAACTTTTAGAGGCTAACTGCTCAGGGGGCTTAATAATAATAATAGCAACATTGGCATTGACAAATTCGTTATTAGTCAATTGCCTTACTAGGAACTGCTTCCATCCTGCGACAATACCTGTAATACCATCAAACATCCACATCTGCCTATCCCAGGTCCTGGGTAAGGACTTGATAGGTAGACAAAATGCCAAATCCAGACTAAACTTCTGGCTGACTGTGCGATGATTAATAACAATAATAATAATAAAGTTGGAAGGGACCTTGGAGGTCACCTAGTCCAACCCCCTGCTCAGGCAGGAAACCCTACACCATTTCAGGCAAATGGCTGTCCAAGAGGAATGTACTTCTCAACTGCCTAAAAGGAAAGCCTGCTTCCACCCCTGCCTCACTGGGACGGAGACTTACTCCTTCAGCTTAAACAAAAAGAAAGCAAAACGACCCACAACGGCTGTCGCGGGTAGCAGAGAAGCACCAAACGCCACCAGCATCAACACAGCTGAAAGCCTCTTGTGAGGCGAGCGGGCCTTTTATAAAGTGCTGAAGCCCCGCCCATCGGCCCGCCCCCCGACGCCTCGAGACCGCCCTCCAGGAGGCGGGGCGAAACGGAACCGGAAGTCCGGGGATGAACGGGCGGAAGTGAGGGCGGGAGAGAGGCAGTTCCCGGGATTGGACTGAAGGCGAGGCTCATCTCTGCCCTTTACCTCCCTTTGTGGGTAATAAGATCAATCATCACCATTAATGACGACGATAATAATAATAATAATAATAACAGTAATAATTGTTTATTTTAAAGCCTGGGGGGCTTTAAAACAGCCTTGCGGGCGTTCACTGGCGTCTCCTCTTTTTTTTCGCCCCCTGGATTGTTTTGGTTTTTGCGCCAAGGAGCTAGTCCTCTGGATCTTGCAAGGATTCTGCAGTTGCCCCACACCCCGCTCACCCGGGAGAGCGTTTGGAGAGGGAAGGGCAGGGTGGAGCGGGATCTGGCTCAGATCAGGGTGGCTTTCTTTTTCCATCCCTCTGATCCCAACCCCCGCGGTGATTCGTTGTGTAATTGTGTGATGGCAGAGCCGTTGTGTAATTTCTGGACCTCCAGCAGGCAGCTAGCTACAGGTCCTGGGGAAAAAGCAAGACAGGGAAGACAACAACAACCTGCTCCCACCTCTCCTCCTTTGCAGTTGATTAAAAGAGCCCGCTTGCCTCTGAAGGCAGAAATGACAATAAATATCCCTAATGTTTAATAGCCATCAAAGCTTTTTCTTGTAACAGGAACTTTTTTTATGGATAGAGACTCCATAGATTTTATGTCCAGGTGGGTGCGCATGGGTGCCTTCAAATCTGCTTTTGATTAGTCCCTGCAGTTTTCATGACAGTTTTTGGGGGAATTGCTTTGCCTTGCCTTTTTTTTTAGGGCTGAGTGGAAGTGGCTGGCCTGAGGTCACGCAGGCAGCTGGCTTCACCTCCCAAGGCAGGACTACAACTCACGTTATTCTGGTTTCTAGCCCGATGCCTTAACCACTATCAGTAGATCAATGCATCCTTTTAAAATAGAAGATGCTGGATATTTCAAATCAGAGGAGACAGCAGCTAGACTGCTTGCTCTAGTGTAAGCAACTGCAAATAGTTCCCCTGCCCTTCTGAAGTTCAATCCTGAACAGATTTACTCATCCCCAAAGGGATGAATTCATCCCCAAAGGCAACAGACCTCAAGAATTTTTTCCATGGCTATAGTTGAAAGAAATGAAGTATTTTGCTTTGGCTCAAGAGCTGCATTTTTTTGAACCCGAGTATTCTATTCAATTTCTTCTCTGCTTTGATTCAAATGATTTTCTTGACTGTTACTTTCAATTATTTTTGTTGGGCAGCTATGACAATCTGATAATTTACTTTCTGAAATGCCTCTTAAGATTGTTCCGATATCTGCTTGCAATGTGTCTGGAGATTGTATACAATAGTTAAACAATACTGTGCTGTTGTTTTTGCTCTTCTTCGAAACAAAATAGCATGTTCCAATATGTTCATTAGTTACTCTTTCAGACCAATACATATTTTATGGGCTGACAATCCTTAAAGGACAGCTATCACTTAATATAGAAAAGAGAAGCTTACTTACATTGAACTGGTTTTGTACGGCCAGATTGTCGACAATATCAAATTAAACATTTACACAGGTGTTTTGTTTTCAGAAAATAATAGATGGTGGGGTTTTTTAAATATCTTTTCAGGAATTCCAGAATGGCTTCTACCACTGATGTTGTTCAGAATTATCAAAGCATGTTTGCTTATCGATATACTGCAGAGGATAAGGAATATCAGAAATATCTTCAGCGTTCTGCCATTCCACCTCCTCTGATTGAAGACTGGATGAACAGGTCTGGCTGTTACATTTTCCTTATCTTAAATTTTGTTGGGTCTGTGGGGCGTCATAATTACGCAGTGGATACCATAAAGGCAGAACCCAAATCAAGATAGCAGAATGGAAAACAAGCCATAAAACCTAAATAGAGCTAACTCCACAATGGTTAAGGTCCATTTATCTTAAATGACTGTGGTATGTTTCAGGGTTAAGACTATATTTGGTTTTGCTACACTATCCTGAAATAGCTTTAGAGATCAAAATGCAGAATGCAAATTCCTTTCACATTGTGCTGATAAAAACGTGGCTATGCACTACGTTATTGATTTACGAACATGGTCTAGTGAGAAGTATAGAAGTTTATCTGCCCACATTGTTCTGTTTGCTCAAGTGCATAAAGACAAGAGACCAAATAAGATTAGAGAGACAATTCTAACTGAATTGGCTGCCGCAGAGTATTTGCTGCCTCCGGACCTGTATAATAGGTATAATAACAACTTAGCTTATTTATAGTGCCTCAAATATGTTTACCACAATGGCTGTTGCTTTGCTATCCCTGTTTGTACATTTCAGTTACTTTAAAAAAAAATCATTTTAATTGTAAGCTGCTCTCCAAATGCTGTAGTTTTAAGAAGGATTTCCATACAGGAAAATTGGAAAGCCCTCAATATAAATGGAAATGTTAATAAAACTGTAAACAGCTGTAGATGTTTATGGATGCCCTAATAATCTGTGGCTTATTCAAAATAAGCAGTTCCTCAGCCAAGTCCGAGCGAGTAATTTTCCTCAGCTACATATGCTTATTTATTGATTGCGTTTTATCCCCCTTTCTGCCATAAAAATGCCCTCTGTTAAAAAACGGACATCTAGCAAACCCAATTCGTTGGTCACTTTAATTTCCTAATTTTTACGGACATTTCATGAGATACTTTTTTGACGTTTCAGCGAACCAAGCGGGCCGTCTGTGTTTGAGATCCTCCAGAATTACAAAAATAAGTTTGCCCATCGATTCACTTCCGAAGATGAGGAGTATCAGAAGTACGTTCAGCGTCCTGCTGACCCACCTCCCTTAGTGGAGGACTGGCAAAATAGATCGGGTGGTCACCAGCGATACAGAGATCGGTATTATACTTGCATTTTAAAGTTTTTATTATATTGATGGGGAAAAAAAGTGAACACTGTATTAGTGCTTTTTCTGGCTGAATTTGCACAATGCGTAGGATGCTTGGGCTGTAAAGTACTATGAAGTGGTACTTTCATTTTAGCATGATGTGCGAGTTCAACAGATTGTGCCTTCGTCAACAAACCAGCGTTTAGTAACGGTGTTGTCATGTGTGTAAATCGAGACAGAGTATTGCTTTTGGCAAGGCTGCTTGGGCTTTAGAACCGGTAGCTGAAAAGGACTGGGGCTGAGTTCAGAGACTATGCACTCACGTCCCCCCTAGTCCTTCTTTTCTCTAGACTAGCCAAACCCAACCGTTTCTTCGTATGTTTTAGTTTCCAGGGTTTTAATCATCTTAGTTGCTCTTCTCTGCACTTTTCCCAAAGTCTCAACATCTTTTTTGCAATGTGGTGACCAAAACTGGATGCAGTATTCCAGGTGTGGCCTTACTAAGGCTTTACAAAAGTGGCAGCTCCACTGAGCAATAGTCTATTTCTTTTTTTTTTCTGATAGTCAAGAAAAATACTCATTTTTACATAATGGTGTTTGATCTTTTATTTGTGATTCTTGGCAGCTGCTGAATATGCACGCTTCTGCTCCCTCCCCCAGGGGCACTTGAGATTTACCCCTCACAGACAACAACAACAACAATAATAATAATAATGTTGGAAGGGACCTTGGAGGTCATCGAGTCCAACCCCCTGCTCAGGCAGGAAACCCTACACCATTTCGGAAAGATGGCTGTCCAGTCTCTTCTTAAAAATTTCCAGTGTTGGAGCATTCACTGCTTCTGGAGGCAGGTTGTTCCATTGGTTAATTGTTCTATCTGTCAGGAAGATTCTCCTTCGTTCTAGGTTGCTTCTCTCCTTGATCAGTTTCCACCCATTGCTTCTTGTCCTGCCTTCAGGTGCTTTGGAGAATAGCTTGACTCCCTCTTCTTTGGGGCAGCCCCTGAGATATTGGAACATGGCTATCCTGTCCCCCCTCGTCCTTCTCTTTATTAAATTGGACATATCCAATTCCAACAACCGTTCCTCATATATTTTTTGAATCCTATTCCTCTTGGCTTTGGATTCTGCCTCTCCCCTGTAGGATTATTCTGTATGATTTTAGAAGTTGTTTCCAACTTCAGAATAAGCAGTTCCTCAGCCATGTCCGAGCAAGCCATTTTCCTCAGCTATATATGTGTATTTGTTGATTGCATTTTATCTCCCTTTCTTCCATAAAAATGCCCTCTGTTAAAAAAGGACACTTTGCAAATCCAGTTCGTTGGTCACTTTAATTTCTTAATTTTTACGGACATTTCATGAGGTACTTTTTTGACGTTTCAGCGAACCAAGTGCGCCATCTATGTTTGAGATCCTCCAGAATTACAAAAATAAGTTTGCCCATCGATTCACTTCGGAAGATGAGGAGTATCAGAAGTACGTCCAGCGCCCTGCTGACCCACCTCCCTTAGTGGAGGACTGGCGAAATAGATCGGGTGGTCACCAGCGATACAGAGATCGGTATTATACTTGCATTTTTTTTTTACAAAACAAAAAAGTTTTTAATTGTATTGATGGGAAAAAAGGTGAACACCGTATGAGTGCTTTTTCTGGCTGAATTTGCACAACGCGTAGGGTGCTTGGGCTGTAAAGTACTATGAAGTGGTATATGAGAGTCTAAGTCAGTGGTTCTCAACCTGTGGGTCGGGACCCCATTTGGGGTCGAATGACCATTTCACGGGGGTCGCCAAACAACGCAGTCCGCCATTTTTCCCCCCTTTTCCTTAGCTGTGCTACTCCCTTTTATTCTATTGGGTTTTGAAAGCCAATAGAATAGACTCTCGTGAATAGAGTCTAATTCTATTGGCTTTCAAAAGCCAGTAAGAATTGTCCAGGCTGTCTCTGCCCTGCTGAGCCCGCCAAAAGTCCCATTCTGCAAACGGTGCTGCACCAGTCAAGTAGTCCTCAACTTACCACCGGTTGGGGTCGCGGCATTAAAAAGGTTGAGAACCACTGCTTTAAAAGAAAACCAAAAAACGGATGTGTTTCTAATTCTCTGATAGAGTAGAATGGCTTTCCTTTGGAAAGCTGCTCCATTGTGCTTCTGAATATCATATCGTACGGTTAGTTTAGATTGATATGAAGAGGTTAGATGCTGGCTTCTTTCTGGTGATGCTACCCCACCCGGTGGGTGGGTAGATGACGTCAATCAAGAAGTTAAACAAAGTCTTCAGAACAGCTTGTTTCTTTGGCTTTGCCTCCCTGGAAAAAGGGTGGGCAAGGTGTGGCCTTTCTGAAGTGTTTTATGTTGTCTTTGTCTGTTGGGCGGATTAGCCTGAGCTGAGAGACGGAGAAGACCTAACAGGTTGTGATCTGCCACAACAGTGAATGCAACAGCCCTGCCCAGCAACTCCTCCCGGGCTTGTTTGAATTTACTGCCTTTTTTTGCGTGTCTCAGTTGGCAAGAAGATAGAATAATAGTCTTGGGAGGGACCTTGTAGGCCAGTGGTGGCGAACCTATGGCACGGGTGCCAGAGGCGGCACTCAGAGCCCTCTCTGTGGGCACGCGCGCCGTCGCCCCAGTCCTCGGCCTTCAGCTGGGTTCTATAAAATCTTTCCGCTTTAGGCCTCTGCCGCCGGGTGCAAAAACAAACAAAGGTTCAATCAGTCAATTTCAACCTCGCGGGAAAAAAAAGATCTTGCAAAGTTGGAATTGATTAATTGAACTTTTTAGTCCCACCCAGTCTGCAGCCATGCCCACCCAGTGGGCCACGCCCACCCAATGGGCCACACCCACCCGGCACTCAACAATGCATAAGTGGGTTTTGGGTTGCAGTTTGGGTACTCAGTCTCTAAAAGGTTCGCCACCACTGCTGTGGACCTTCTAGTCCAATCCCTTGACTCGTATTTATGACCGATGCACTGTCCCAGGGTGTGTGTGTGTGACGTGATCCCCTTTTACAACCTGTCGAGCAAAGTCAATGGGAGGAAGCCATTTTCGCTTAACAACCAGTGTTAACTAACTTAACAACTGTCGTAATTTACCCAGCAGTTGTGGCGAGAAAGGTCATGAAATGGGGCAAAACTCACCTAACAAATGTCTCACTTAGCAACATCAATGTTGGGCTCAGTTGGGTTGGTAAATCAAGGACTACTTGGGGTATTTTCCTTCTTCGTAACGGATGCGCTCCGCTGGGATAATGCCGCTGACGGGCTCCGAAAATAAGTCCGGTGTCTTAGCATGCCCCTTTTCCTTTTTCACAGATTTAGAGACAGCCACCAATTCCGAAACAGGGGACACGGCTATGACCACCCAGGAGGCTACAGGTCTGATCAGTGGCACGAAAAGGGCTACGGCTCTAACTATCAGCAGCACCAACACGGACAGTCTTCCTTTCCTCAACAGGGCTGGCCGCCGCGCAGCTACGGATCGTATTTCCAGGAGCCGCGGTACGGCCGCTACTAGCAGGTCCGCCTGCCTTGGCATCTCAGCGTCACAGTGAGATGCTGCAGGGTTCCAAAGGCAACTTTCGTTGTATTCTGTTTCAAATGTCCATACATCCCGTAGAAATCTGTATGTATTTGTATGCAACGCGTTTAATCCAGAAGACAGGAGACGGTGACGTTTAAGGGTGTAGCAGCTAAGCTGTGAGTTTGCCACTCAGCTGCTTTTTTTTTTTTTTTTTATCTTGACCTCTTTAATTCGGGAGAATTTGACTTTTGCCTAAGGGAGCCGGTCTTCTCCGAGTCCTGATTTGTGCAGTTTTGTCTCTAATGAGGAACACCGTGATGAACATCAGTAATGTGTCATGACAGGGGAGAAAATAATGCTGGTTGCGGTTGTGTTTTTATTTTGTTTATGCTCTGGCTTATTCCTATGTTTATCTGTGGAGGGCGATTACCTTTCCGGTTTAATTTGCAAGCGATTAAGCTAAAATGTCACCCAAACAGGGAGATAAATTGTAAAACATTGCTGCTCTGAAGGCCTCTTTCTGTTTTTGCATTAAAGCAAAATTCGTTAGAATTAAACGGCGTCCCGTTGTATCTGTGCTCGCATTTCAGCAAAGTGGGTGGTTAGCATGTACAGCGTGAAATAACACCCAACGAAGGGCTGGAGTTATTTATTTGCTTATTCAACGTCCTCCTGTTCTACTCAGCTGAATTCTCCAAGCGAGCAAAACAAATGCCGCAGCTACGTAGATCCTCGTTCGTTTAGCAACCTTTCAAAGGCAGTGAAAAAAGGGACTTAGGACCATTTCTCACACTTACGACCGTTGCCGCATCCCCATGTCACCTGATCAAAATTCAGACATTTGTCAATTGACTCATACATAGGACGGCTGCGATGGCCTGGGGTCATGTGATCAACGTTTGCAAACTTCTGACAAGCAAATATCAACGCGGAAGCCAGATTCACTTAACAACCAGGCTACTAACTTATCCACTGCAGTGATTCGCTTAACAACCGTGGCTCAAAAAGTTGTATAATGGGGCAAAACTCACTTAACTGTCTCACTGAGTGACATAAATTTAGTGCTCAATTGTGGTTGTAAGCTGAGGACTACCTGTAGTAGCTATCAACTATCGTAGTGTTGGAGCGGTGGGTTGTTTAAACCCCAAATGGTTCTCTGGCGGATTCTGCTTCGTGGCTTACAACAATAATAATAATAATAATAATAAAGTTGGAAGGGACCTTGGAGGTCATCGAGTCCAACCCCCTGCTCAGGCAGGAAACCCTACACCATTTCAGACAAACAGCTGTCCAGTGTCTTCTTAAAAACCTCCAGTGTTGAAGCATTCACCACTTCTGGAGGCAGGTAGTTCCATTGGTTAATTGTTCTCACTGTCAGGAAGTTTCTCCTTGGTTCTAGGTTGCTTCTCTCCTTGGTTAGTTTCCATCCGTTGCTTCTTGTCCTGCCTTCAGGCGCTTTGAAAAATAGCTTGATTCCCTCTTCTTTGGGGCAGCCCCTGTTACCCCAGTCGAGGGTGATGTATTTAATAAAGCATTAACTCAGCAAAATGGAGGAACCAGGCCTGTTTGGCACACGAGGCAGAAAACCCCATTAGCAGCTCTGCCTCGAAATAAAAACATAATCAGCCGCAGAATAACTTAGCTGCCCTTTCACTTGCCATCCAAATTCAGTGGCTAACTAAAAGTGCCTGACGGATAGAAGATCAGGATCCAAGCTGGCAGAGCTAAGTCTTATCTGCCTTATTATCGCGAGATGCCTAGAAACCCTTCAGCTTCATCGTGGATCTGATAAGCTCCATTAGTGTGGGAAGAACACAGCCTTTTAATGCCGTTTGATTAAGTCCCTCAGCAGGATGCATCACAAACAGATTTGCGGGCCCTGAGTATAAATGCCACCATGTACTGCTGTTACAGCAGGAGAAGGGTAAAAGAAAAAAAGAAAAAAAAGGCTGCTGTATAAACAAGAGAAGATGAGAAACACAACCCGCTTTTATAAAAGAACGACTAAAAAGATTCTGGTTACAAGTCAGGATATGTTTACGAGATGTATACGCTGTTAAAAAGAACATATAGAAGCTGAGAGCTGTGGGTTTGGTAAACATAGGATCCTCTCCCTCCACAGATCCCAGCTTAAGTCTCAATCATCTAGATCAGTGGTGGTGAACCTATGGCACGGGTGCCAGAGGCGGCACTCAGAGCCCTCTCTGTGGGCACACGTGCCGTCACCCCAGTCCTCGGCCTTCAGCTGGGTTTTATAAAACCTTTTTGCTTTAAGCCTCCGCCGCCGTGTGCAAAAGAAAAAAAAAAGGTTCAATCAGTCAATTTCAACTTCTCGCGGGGGAAAAAAGATCTTGCAAAGTTGGAATTGATTGATTGAATTTTTTAGTCCCACCCAGTCTGCCGTTACCACCGCAGCCAAGCCCAGCCAATGGGCCACGCCCACCCGGCACTCGACGATGCATAAGTGGGTTTTGGGTTGCAGTTTGGGCACTCGGTCTCTAAAAGGTTCACCATCACTGATCTAGATGCTAAGCCCTGACAATTATTTTGTGAGAATTAGCTGTAGTGTTTATAAAAGGTGTGGGGGGGAAGCAGTTGTGATTGGCACTTGAAAGACCAACAGTTTAAGGTTTCAGGGAGAAGAATCTGCTAACAGATGCACGTCTGATTTAATGAAATATAATAAGCAGAGGTAAGCTAGATGTCAAACAGAGAACTCACGAAAATTAGTGTTGACAGCTACAAGGGCTGATAGGGTTCAATAAGCTAAGCAACACCAAACAAACCACACACATACACAAATGGGTTTTTTTTTGCCATTGAAAACGGAAATATTTCGGGACCTTAAACTCAGGAGTAAGAGCAGAGAATATCACATACGTCAGGGGTGTCAAACTCAATTTCATTGAGGGCCACATCAGCATTGCGGTTGCCTGGGGGGGGGTGGCCAGGGTGGGTGCAGCCTACTGGGTGGGCGTGGATGGAGTGGGTGTGGCCTACTGGGTGGGCATGGCCAGCTCTACATCGTTCGCGTCAAGGGCACCTGTGGGGGCCTGGGCAGGAGTGGGACAGATCTGAGGGTCTCTGGCAGAAGGGGGGGGAACCGGGGCAAGCACCAAGGCATGGTCCATTTCTTCATTCCTCACAAAGGGTGACACCTCCCCAGCATGCACTCAGGGAGTGGGGCCGACACAGCAGGGGCTGGTTCCTCGCTGTCTCAAGACAGCCTGTGGAGCTAAGACTGAATGCGTTTCAGCGTAGATGGCCACCACAAAATTCTACATTGGCTTCCGGCCAGCCTGGGCCAGGGCCAAGGCAGCGGGGGCCGTTCCCTCACTGTTTCCAGGATGGCTTCGCGGGCCACATGAAACCACTTCGCGGGCCGCATCCGGGCCCCCAGGCCTTGTGTTTGACATGTCTGACATACGTTAAAGAGATCACACAAATGGTATCACACCCTAAAACAGTGTTTCTCAACCTTGGCAACTTGAAGAGGTATGGACTTCAACTCCCAGAATTCCCCAGCCAGCACAACTCTTCAAGTTGCCAAGGTTGAGAAACACTGCCCTAAAAGTGGCTTGGCTCAGCCACAGTGACTGGACCACGGAATGAACTAGTTTCCTTTCCCTTACTCAAACTCTGAAGCCCATCTGTTTCTGCAATAATGCCTTTTAACCATTCTTTTTCTTCATTTTTCCTCCCCTTTAGAATCCAAAGAGACAAATTAAACCCTGTACGAGAGAGCAGGCACTGGTCCTTCCCACATGCCTGGAATTGCCCTTACCAGCTATATATAATTATATGCAAATGAGCGCTAAATTAGGATACTCACTCCAAGCACTTCCACTCTGGATGGGTTTTTTTTTTTTTTTTTTAGAAGCTGGTGCCAAGGAGCAAGTCATTTCCTCTAACCTATCTCCATTATTTTGAAAAAAAAATAAAAATCGAACCTACACAGCATTTTATTTAAACATCCATTTAAAATATTTCTCTCTCCTGTTCTATTTTTAAAGGCAATCAAAGTGATATTCTGGGCACTGACCTTCAGGGAACGGAGTAGCAGGAGTTCCTTTTGACAACAATAAAAAAAGATAAACTAAAGTTTATTTTCTGAAATCAGAACTGTGGACTGCAAAGAGATGCGTGCTGGTGTGCAAGGATGCACAGAAACCCAAAGCCTACTTTTGTCATTTGCATGTCCTCTCGTGTGTTTTCTTATGTTCCCATTTTTATTGCACAAGTATCCTTGGCCACTGGACGCAGGATAGTCTATTCCGGGGTTCCCCAACCTTGGCAAATTTAAGACTTGTGGACTTCAACTCCCAGAATTCCTCAGCCAGCAAGTCTTAAAGTTGCCATGGTTGAGGACCCCAGGACTACTCTACTCTAGTGAAAAGAAGGTCTAGAGGTGACGGTCAACCATCTGAACAGTGAATTCAAAATCAAGGAATCCTCAAGGCTTTGAAGTGCCATAAAAGATAAACTTTACTGAATGCACATCTCAGAATTGAAGGATCAAAACCAGCTCTGGTTTTCCCACGCGAAAATCTGCCTAATTAACGATAGCTTTCCATAACCCCCACCCACCAAATGTTCACCTTGCCCAATCATACTGTACTTCTTTGGTTTGTTATGAGAACAGTCCACATCTCCGTCAGACACCTGCGTTCGTGACCTTGGCTCTCATGGTCCCTGTGTGGAAAGTTGAGTAGCGATAGAAGTTAGCAGGCATCTTAGCGATTCAGCCTTGACAGGGACACGATAGCAGCGTTCCAATATTTGAGGGCCTGTCACAAAGAAGGGGGGGGGGGAAACCTATTTTCCAAAGCACCAGAAGGCAAGACAAGAAACAACGGATGGAAAATAATCAAGGAGAGAAGCAACCTAGAATTAAGCAGAAATTTCCTGACAGTGAGAACAATCAACCAGTGGACCGGCTTGCCTTCAGAGGTTGTGGGTGCTCCATCACTGGAGGTTTTTAAGAAGAAGCTGGGCAGCTATTTGTCTGAAATGGTATAGGGCAGTGATGGCGAACCTTTTAGAGACCGAGTGCCCAAACTGCAACCCAAAACCCACTTATGCATCATCGGGTGCCGGGTGGTTGTGACCCATTGGCTGGGTGTGGCCCATTGGGTGGGCGTGGCTGCAGTTGTAACGGCAGACTGGGTGGGACTAAAAAGTTCAATTAATCAATTTCAACTTTGCAAGATCTTTTTTTCCCGCGAGAAGTTGAAATTGACTGATTTATTGAACCTTTTTTTTTTTTTTGCACACGGCGGCAGAGGCCTAAAGCGAAAAGATTTTATAAAACCCAGCTGAAGGCCTAGGACTGGGGCGATGGCACGCGTGCCCACAGAGAGGGCTCTGAGTGCCGCCTCTGGCACCCGTGCCATAGGTTCGCCACCACTGGTATAGGGCAGGGGTAGGGCACCTTGGCTCTTTTATGACTTGTGGACTTCGATACCCAGAATTCCTGAACCAGCCATGCTGAGTCAGGAATTCTGGGAGTTGAAGTCCACAAGTCATAAAAGAGCCAAAGTTCCCTACCCCTGGTATA